TCCCGGGCGTGAAGACTTACTGCCGGTGAGTCCCCTGATGGTTGAGGTGAGACTGCGGGCATTAAAGACCAGCCACATGGCGGATCTAACCGCGTTACTGCACTCTGGCTGCTCCTGTTGCTTTATAAACCCGGTTCTTGTGAATGGACTTGGACTAAGGGTGCAGAAGTTAAAAAACCCGATTGTTTTTACGCAGCTGGATGGGTCGCCAGTGGGAGGGGGCCCGGTCGAACTTTATACCGAAGCACTCGAAATGAGAATTGGGACTCATAAAGAGACTATACGGTTCCTAGTAGCTCCGATCGCTCAGCTTGCGCTAGTGCTGGGTCTGTCCTGGTTAAGGCGGAGGAATCCCCAGGTGGACTGGGGAACCCGGAGCCTGGCATTTGAAGATGGTTATTACAGAGTCCCTGAGCGGATCGGTGCCGGCATGCCACGCTTGGAACTAGCGGCAATGTGTGTGGAGTCTCCTGGGCAGGGCAGTACTGCGGGTGCCTGCTCACTCCCAGCGCAGTCGTTAAATCGTGTCCGACTCTTCGTGACCCCCTGCACCATTTCGCGCCAGGCCTTCCTGTCCTTCTGTGCCCCCCGGGGTTTTCTCAGTTTCATGCTTCTTGCTTCGGTGATGCCATCTAACCATCTCATCCTCTGCCGCCCCCTTCTCCTTCTGCCTTCCATCCTTCCCAGCATCGGGTCTTCTCCAAAGAGTCCTCTCTTCGCCTTAGGTGGCCAAAGTATCCGAGCTTGAGCTTCAGGGTCAATCCTTCCAGTGAGCATCAGGGCAGAGACTTCAAAGAGGCGTTTGGCGAAGCGCTTCTGTTCCACGTGCGGAGGAGAGGGGCGCCGTGCGGGGAATTGCCCGCAAAATCAACTCCCGCGGGCTGCCCCGGGAAGCAGGCAGGCGGGGAGGTCTGCGAAGGGTCCCAAGCCGGAAAGGAGAGGAACAGCTGCTCCGGGAGCAGAGGGACCGCCTCGAGCCCCATGGATGGCGGAGAGTGAATCCTCCGAGGATGAACAGCATTTTGAAGTCAAAGAGATTTTAGATGCGAGAAGACGCAGAGGAGAAGGACAGTTCCTCATTCAGCTGAAGCATTTCCCCAAGTCTCAGGGTTGCAAAGAAACATGTGAGAGCACCACAGTTGCTTAAAGACTTTTATAAGAAATACCCTAACAAACCAAAATGACAGTTGCATTCATGCTGTAAAAATGTAAACTTGTTTTAGTTCTATCTAATCCCTCTACAGGTCTCCGTCCATGAAGACCAAAGTGAGCCTTCTCTCCAGGGGGGCGGCATGTTAGAATCCACGCAATCAATCAATCAATCAATCAATCAATCAATCACCCTGCTAGCTTGCTTGCTTCGTTTCTGCCATTACAGTGATGGGGGGGAGGTTGGGCGGTTATCTGGCGCTCAGGAATGCCCAAGGCCGTACCAGCGTGAGACCCGGTGGCGTGCGCAGAGACTCAGAGACAGAAGGCGGGGGGTGAGATGGGAATGGGGTAAAGTTGAGTTTTGGCGCGCGCGGGACTCAGTCCCAGCAATGCTTCAGAGCTGTGCCCTGCTTCTCCAATAAACGAACTTTCCTTTGAACTTGCCTTGGTTTCAACGGGAGTTGCTTTCCTTGGGAACTGAGGACCGCGGTTCTTACACTGGCTTTGCAAAACGCTCAGGCACCATGCAGGGCC